ATTTCAAAAACAAAAGCTCCCAGCTCAAGGTAAAGTGATGCTGAACATCCTGAGTATACTTAAGCTATAAGAAATTTTCTAGATGACTAATGTTTTCCTTGACTTGGAAATAAATCAGACAATTGAAAAATATAAGTAAGACCTTCAATGAATTGAGAATCATAAAAATGCTATATGGAGTTCAGTTATCTGAATCTTGGGAGGCTTGTAGTAGTTGTAAGAGTTCAACAAGCAAAATGAAACCCTGTGAATGTTCAAACTTCAGTCATCCAGGACAGGTCCTGTAGGTTCACAGTTGGTCTATTAAAGATAAAAAGCTATCCCTTGTTGTAGTAGAACTTGGTATATGGCTCATATTCTATTTTTCACCAGCTCATGAAATCCATTCTCATCAATGATTAAAGGTGCATGGAATTCTTTCTCTGCCACATAACTTTCTAGTCCTTCTCCAGCATAGGAAATAAGAGGAGAGATTTCACACTGGATTGGTAGGTACATCGTTGGCATCCTTCAAGTGGGGAATTGCTGGAAAGCAAGAACCATTTTCATCTATGGCCCCCCCTCATTGAGGACCCAGCAATGATGAAGGGACATCAAAGCATGCCTTGCAGCTGTAGGGTTGTCCTTCCCATTCTGACTGTCTGCATTCTTTAGTGGGGAAAACTCATCTTCCCGTAATACTTCATATACCACACACAAACTTCGTTGCGAACTGGAAGATGTCAAAGACAAAATTTTCCGTCTTTATTCCATTTGGCTTTTTTGGCTTAATTAACTCCCCCTGGGAATCCACATATGGAATCTTCTTTTGAGCCACATGGTGCTGCAGCTAAGGTTCACAAACACTGACAACATCTCTCAGAAATGGTACAGTGAAGAAATGATTAGCAATGTTGCCCTTGTTGAACAATAGTTGTCCATCTGAGCTTCATCTCTGAGCTGTTGCCAGGGAAATTTCACTATATTCTACCACCTGGTACATGCTGTCCGCTCAGCAAACCACTCCAACTGGTTCAGTAGGGTTCATCTTCTCTACCACCTTTGGCCCACAGTCTGCTCTTTTCTGAATGCAAAATCCAATAAATCATGGGTCTGCCACTCTTACCAATATATTGTCCACACAATAGACATGAATCCACCAAATGCCTCTTTGTTCCATATCCTCCACAATATTCTGGCTGCGAGAACCCGATAGAGAACCCCATTTCCATCCGGGGCCATAGAAACTTTGTCCTTCTCTTTCAAAATAATTTTCCCATCAAAACTCAGAGCAGGTAGCATTCCCTGCTGAAAAAAGATTACGTTCTCTTTTTTTAAACCAAAGTACTTGGGCTTTCTGAAGAAATTCTTTGTTGCTTCCATTGTTCTGCCACTGGTCATTATATACCATGAAATGATGCATTTGTTGCCGTAATATTTTTTGGCTAACAGTTGTAGCTTCAGGATACACTCTGCTTGAATCTGAAAAAGTGTCTTATGGGATGGTAAACCAACATCATACATTCCTTTGGGGTATTCCAAGTCTTGTCCCCTGCCCACCAGCTAGAAGGAGAACTGCTAGTTTGTTCTGAGAAATCTGAAAAAGTTCTTCACTTTCCCAGGACTGGAGCTGATTTTGGTCCCTAGTGGCACTGCCCAACACCTCTAGAGGGACAGGTTTCATTCGTGCATCTACTTTCTCTTGGTGAGTAGACTGGTTAAATCCTTCAATAGCTTTTTGGAAAAGGAAATTCAGCTCCTCAAAGTTCATGGCCTGGAGCTCCGCATAAAGTTCTACCTGTTGTGCTTCTTCCAGTTCATTCCAGAACTGCAGCCAGTGTTCTCGCCCAGCTTTGGACAATCCGAGTTTGAGGTCGTTAACGTTCATAGTGCTGTGGTGGCCAAGCTTTGTGAAAGCAGGAGTGTGATTTTTGCACCCGTGAACCTCCCTCGGCGCGACTGTGGCTCCGCCCGGCTCGGCTGAGTGGTTATGGTGCGGGGCTTTTCTAGAGTGTCTAACTGTATCTTGCCCTGAAGACTTTATCTACTCTTCTTTCACAACAATTTCCCCCAATAAATCTCTTGTACATTTATTCATTTTGCAGTACTGGGAATTGAACTCAGAACCTTGAGTTTGCCAGGCAGGCACGGCGCCACTGAGTTAAATCCCCTGCTTTAATCCCTCTCTCTCTTTTTTATTATTTATTTATTTATTTATTTATTTATTTATTTATTTATTGGCACCAGGGATCAAACTCTGGACCTTGCGGTTTCGAGGAAGGCGCCGGAACCACTGAGCTAAATCCCCAGCTGTTTTTTTTTTTTTTTGAAACAAGGTCTCGCCTTGTATTGTAGGCTGGCCTTGAACTTACCAGGCAGCCTAGGGTAGCCTCGAACTCATGGCAATCCTCCTGTCTCAGCCTCCTGAGTGCTGGGGTTATAGGCGTGCACCAGCACACCTGGTTGTATAGGGATGAATCTAAAAGAAAAGAAAAGAGCAGTGTGGCGGCACATGATGTGGGTCATTGGTAGAGCCTAGAGTGTGTGAGGCCCTTGTTTTGAAAAAAAGAGAAAGAAAGCCAGAAAAAAAGAAGAAAGAGGGAAAGAAAGAAAGAAGGAAAAAAAGAAAGAAGAAAGAGGGAAAGAAGAAGGAAAGAGAGAGAGAGAGAGAGAGAAAGGAGAAAAATGCTAAGAACAAAAAGTATACTTACTGCATGATTTATTTGTATGAAATTGCAGAACAGTCTGACAGGAGAATGGGGAACAATTGGGAAAGGTGCATAAGGGAGGTTTCTGAGAATGGAAATGGTCTATATCTTAATAGGCATATGATTTCATGGTTGGACACATTTTCAGAATCCCTTTACTGTATACTCGATGTATTTATTTATATAAATTTATATCTCAATATAAGAGTGCAAAACCAATTTTTCCTATGATTATGCCAGATGTTATTTTCTTTTTCTTCTTCTTCTTCTTTTGGTACCGGGGATCGAACTCGGGTTTTAACGCTTGCGTAGCAGGCAGCAAAACCACTGAGCTAAATCCCCGGCCCTGTTGTTTTCTTCTTGCAGTTCTGCTCATGTCTGCTCTCTCTCTCCCTCCCTCCCTCTCTCTCTCTCTCTCTCTCTCTCTCTCTCTCTCTCTCTCTCTCTCTC